TGGGGTCACGTCTACCACTTCGTGTCGCAGCTGCTGGGGGCCCTCTACAACCTGCAGGGAGACGCGCTGCCCGCGCAGGAGCCGAACTAAGCTGCGAGCCGGGCTGCCGCGGGACGCGTGCCTACCTGGGGTCAAACCCGCCCCTGTACAGACTGGAGCAAAAATGTAGCACGGCCAGAGGCCCCTCCGTGAACCAAAACTGCCTGGTGCTGTGACTCCTGCAGGGCCTCGTTTTTGCTGCATCCCCCCTCCCCGTGCTGGGCACTTTCTATTTATTTATTTATTGTTCTGCTGCGGAAGGCGGGTTGGGAGCCCCAGGCGGGGGGGACGCACAAGACCGCCACACGCAGGCACAGGCTGTGGTTCTGGGGGCCTGCGGCTGGTATCACGTGCTGGGGTCTGCGAGCGTTATTCCTGCAATCGCAGTTGCTGCTGCCTGGCTCTGCCCCACGTGGCTCCTGTCCGGGATTCCCCTTCCACAGCCTGCCCGTCCCTGGGGGGGGGAGCGCTGCTCCTGGATGCAGCAGCAGCTGGGGGGCACGGAGGGGTGGTGGCTGTAGCACTTTGTACATACTGTATGTTGGATCTGTACATAGACGGGGAGTTGTGGGGAACTGTACATTATATATACTGGGAGGCACTGTGTACATAGGGGAAGGAGGGGAGACTGTACATTTGGGAACACACCTGCTGTACATGATCAGTTACTTTTTTTGTACGTTTCTTTTCAATAAAATAAATTTAAGCAGATGGTAGTTCTCTGTTGCCACTGGGTGGGGGGTGGAAGATGCTCGGACCGCCATGGCAGCAATAGCAAGAACCGAAAGCCACAGGGCTCTCCACCACAGCGCTGCAGATAACTCCCAGCACTGAACGTACAGGGACATCACCACAGCGGCAGCTTCACTTCCCCCTGCGATCCGGGGCAGGGTGTTCTGCCCCCAAGGAGGCAGTTTCTCCATACACTGGTCCCTGGCAGAGGTGGACAGCCCCAGTACAGTCCTCTCCCTGGAGGAAGCCAAGCCTCGAACTTGGCCATTCGCCTTGGGCCTGGAGTCAAAGTTGGACTCCAGGCCGGGCCCCTCCCTGCTAAGTGGTACTTAGCAGGACTATTTTAACACTAATTACTTCCCAAAGCTAGAGCTAGGAGCAGTAGGCTGGCACCCTCTGCATCTCCCCACATGCCCTGGGCACTCTTGTGATACCCACAGCCAGGAAAGACCCGCAGTATCATGCTTTGAGTAGGGAAGAAGCACTGCACTGCCAGGTGAGCTGTGCTGCACCGGAGATGACCAATTAGGGCCCCAGTCCTGCAAACAGGGAACTGTGGTCCCCAAGGATTCCTTTGCCTGTTTGCACCTTTCCTTTCCTTCAGGCCAGGGCTTGAGGTGGCTCGGTCTTGGCAGAATAAACCAGGCTGGGCTCAGACTTTTTCCTACCTGTGTGCAAACAGCACCCAGCTCAGAGCTATGGGTCACCTCTAGCCCCAGAGCCTGGAATAAACACCTTGGAAATAAGATTTTATTAAACAACTCAAAAACCGTACAGAACAAGTAGATGACCACTGTCTCTCTCTCTCCCCCCAGATTTGGTCTAAGGAAACTGTTACCAAAGCTCTGGGAGGGAGTCACTGTCCTGTCCCCTTCAGGGCTCTCCCTGCAGCAGGAAGCACACTGCCTGGTTTGGGGACAAAACCAGCGGCGAAGACTGGGAAGCCCCCGAGCCTGATGCTGACCTGGGCTGTGGGGTCCAGGTTGGGGGCAGTCCTGGACTCACTTGGGGCCCAGGCACTCAACAATCCCATTCCCTTTGATGCCATCGAAGAAGAAGAAGTTGTTGTGGGGTGGGTCCCGCTGGGACAGGGCCTGGGAGAAGAAGGAGAGTTGGTTACTAGAACAATCAGATCTGTCCATGAAAAAACCTGGCCCATCTCCACAGCCAGGCCTACAGGTCCCTCACACTTCATCTGCCAGGTGGCACAGAAGCCCAAATCCTCCCCAAGCACTGCTGCTTGCCTATATGAGGCAAGGGCCACAAGTTATTTCAGAGAAACCTCAGCCACAAAGGGAGGTGGGGGGCCTGGCTGAGAAGTGGTACCTCCTCGCACAGCGAGCACTGCCTGCAGGTCAAAGCGAGTGCCCCAGGGGACACCAACATAGTGACAAGCCATGCCTGAGGCTTCCTGCTCACGGAGTGCCCAGGGTACACCAGGGTCTGGGAGCCGGTTGAGGGAGGGAAGCTTCGTTCCCTGCCAGGAGAAGGGTGCGGCTACGCCAGAGAGACATTAAGAGCCTGCCCGCCAATGAAGGCTTTTATCAGCCCAGAGCAGAGGGCCTGGGATTCTGGAGACAGAGCTCGGCTCCCCTCTGCGCTGCTCCCCACCCTCCCCGGTGGGCACATCCCTGTGCCCCTGTCACCGCAAAACAGGCACCTGCTGCTACGTGGGGCTCGGAGAAAGCAGGATCCCTGGCCCCCGGCAGCGATACAGGAAGCCAAGCCTGCGCTCTCAGCACACCTCAAGACACTTCAAAGTGTGGCAGCTGAGGTTGCTGGGCCCAGAGGGCAGGAAGAAGCAGTGTGAGGTGAGGGCAAAGGACATTGTGCTTCCAACAAAGCAGGGCTGGACAGGGATTCCAGACACACCCAGCGATGGGAATCCACGGGGCTGCACAAGCCTCGCCATCAGAAATGGGACCCTGGCCCGCAGCTGTGCCAGGTGGTGGGGAGGAAGTCAAGGCCGGGACCACAGAGCCTCTGCCTGACCCCTCCTCTGGCAAGGGTGCAAGGCAGGCGCTTCCCAGGAAACGGGCCTTTGGGGAGCAACGGAC